CTCCAGTTATTGTGAAGCTTTTGGCGATGGAAGTGTGGTAGTGGTGTTGGTGTGCTGCATGTGTGTGTATAGGGATGTAGGGCGACTACAATTCCTCCGCAAAAAGCGAGGGACTTGATTTCACAGGGATTTGGCACTAATCCGTCATAAACACACGAAAATGGAAAACTATTATCATTTTTTAAAGCACTGGTCGTGTTTTGCCCGATTTACTTATCTAGAATAGTAAAAATGTTGTTGTTTTTTTTGTTATCCTAACCACAAAACTTTACTTATTAGTTTAATAATAACTGGTGCTTAATAACCCAACAAAGAAGTGCAGATCACTTGACTTTGTAGGCCCAACAATTAATCATAATTTTACTGGCAACACTGAGACGAGGCCGAATCCCTTTGAATAAATGTTAAATCATATAAAACTAAACTGAAGATTGGTTCAGAGAGAATCAGTGGTGTAAAGACAATCAAAGCAATTTAAACCACACATTTATTCCTATAAATCAAACCTACTGGTGGAAATTAAATACTATGTGAATGCAGTATCCAACTATCGGAGCATACATGATTTTGGAGCTGATTTTAATCAGTGGTTGTTTGTCTTATTTTGATCCCAGACTGGAGATTGGATCCTTTTTTTTTTCAAAAAGGTGGCTGTTGGAGCCCATCCATCACAGTTTCAACATAATTGCTCTAGACCTTGAATTCTGTCTTTGTATATAACGTCGGTAATGTCACTTTGCACTGCGCGTCTTTACGCACGGCTTTAGGCAGATTATGACAAAAGTAACAAAAGCAGAGGCTGCATAGAGACAGTGAGAAATGAAGGCATGAAGAGGAGCCTGGTATAAGGGAGGAGGGCTTGATTTATCTCAGAGCCCCCCGGTCATTTCCATATATTGAAATGCGCCCCCAGTCACTCAATTTCCCCGGAGCTGTCGTGCGTGCAGGGAAGGCGCGCATGTGACCACCATCGGTCTGATACCCTGTAGTCCCTCGGCTCTTTTCACACTGATTTACAAAGCCTAAATTCTCCCTATTTTATGAACTGTCATCAAAGTATGCTGCTGTCCATTTACTCGCTGCATATACGTACTGCATATATAGGCTGGTGAAAGTTAAATAAAGGTGCTGAATAGGAGAAGTTAAGTTAAAGATGGGAGAGTGTGTCCTACAAATTGAGCAGAATATATCGGCTCGGGCTACATCACATTTTCCATCTGAGTGTGGCCTATGCCTCCCAAATTAATTCCTATCGATGTCTCCTAATTCTTGTCGCTTCGTTTTTAATAATAAGAAGTAAAGATCGGATATGGGATATGGGAGCTATAACTATTACACACATACACAGAAACATGCACCCAGGTCCTGTTTGTTTCATGTATGCAGAGTGGTGTTGTACCGCCACTGCATTAACCAGCCTGACTGATTTATGACGGAACCGGCGACGCGCTGTCACTTACATATACAGATTCCCCTCCAAGTCCGAGCAGCTCTGTGGGCTTTGATCATTGTCTTCCTTGAGTGTGTGTTTGTGTGTGTGTGTGTGTGTGTGTGTGTGTGTGTGTGTGTGTGTGTGTGTGTTGGGAAATATATAAAGTCAGAGTAGGAGGAGGAGGGAGAGAGGAGGAGGAGGAAAAAAGGAAATCTTTGTTGTTGATAGATGGAGCGAGGGGTAGGGAGAGGTCAAGGTTAGTGCTCTTCGGTGTGTGTATGTGCATGGTGTAAACGAGGGGCCCTATAAGTGTGAGTACTAACTGGGGATGGCATAGGCTCTATTAAAATCAGCAAAACAAGTTTTCTCTGATAGATGAGCTGCATCTTTCAACATACTGTATCCAGAAAACCATCAATTGTTGCTCCACTTGTGCGTAAAGGCTTCTGCGGATGTAAAGATTTTGAATTCGTGCCAAAAGGTGTCAGTACATTGCCATATGATGCCAATTCTAAATCCTGCCACCGTCATAAAACCTGACAATAAATACCAGTAAGTTGGCAAAGTCTCAATTTTCTTCTTAGCCTGGGTTCAACTACGAACACTCCACCGTGTCTCCCAGTTTGTAAAGACTTCTAGTGTTTCTGGAACAAGTTTAAAGAGTGCGGTGGCCGCCTGTTGCCAACTACACAGCAACAAGCCACCCAGGACGCCCTATTTAAGGAATGGGAAGCTAAAATCCTCCCGTTTATCCCCAGTTACGTTTTTTAAAAGGACGCGTCATTGTTTAAAAGAACGACTAGAAACTCTACTCTCCTTAGAGTGTATCGTCTCTATCACTGACAGATATTTGGTTTCTCAAGCAGTTTTATCGAGGTAAAATTAAAAGCCAAAGTAAAGTAAGAGCTTACCATCCAGATGCAAATTTTGCAATCAGCATAGTCTCTCATTATGGTCATTTCTCTTTATGCAATCTTAAAACAACCCAAAAGAAGTAAATGCAGTAATTAAAAATAATATTAACACAGAAATCTACAGTAAACCTCCACGTAGCACCGTGTGTGTCTTTTTGATGCACTTCAATGCTGAAGGTGATAAATATATTACATATTTCTGACTTGCTTCTTGCATGTAGGGGGTTGACTAACTTCGGAAATACTACAATAAATCGGTGTTAAAAGATTTATTCTTCTCGGAAATTTTACATCATATCTTTAAAAGGCTTCCCATCAAGTTTTACTGGCTGCGTGCAAGAAAAAGAAATGATATGACTCCATAACAAAACTATATATCCCGTCCACAGACACCACATACGTACAGTGATTATGTGAAACAATCTACATATCTATGTCATTATAAGCTTAAATTGGCTTTATGACTAAAAGTATCACAAATAATTAGTGTGTTAAAATGCACCAACACTGGGTTAATGGGCCGAATTCCTTTTGCCATTAGATCCAACACTTTTTGAATAAGATTATTATCACCATCAAATCGGGCACACCTTTTGTGCAAGCTTTAAACCTGCCTAAACTTTGACACACGGTCACAAACAGAATAATTACCCAGTGCGAGATCATCGCCGTGCACGCTCTCTCTCTCATGCATGCGCACCTCAAACACACTCGCGACATACACCGGCCTGTCCAATAAGCCATGCAGCGAGTTTCAACCTGCGAAATTTTTCACTCACTGGTCATGCATTTTTCCCCCTTGACGTTGAACCTCCTCCTCCTCCACTCCTCCGGCTCTGCTCTCTCTCCTTTTCTTATTCTCTGTCTCTCTCCCATCACCCTCCTCTCCCTCCTCCTTTTTTCTGTCTTGTCTCCCTCCACCACCCCCACCCCCTCACTATTAAGTACGTGTCCTCTTCGGTCAGTGTTTGTAGCTCCAGGTCTCCGAAGCACAAGAGTCGCCGCTGCTGCTCCTTCACCTGCTTCTGTTCTTGAGCCGCCGCTGCCGCTGTCCGGGCGGATCTCCCCGTCTTCTCCTCCTGTACCATCCCTTTCGTTTTCTCCACCTTGTCCACGCAGCACCAGTGACTCTCTTCCTCCCATTTTGCACCACGACTCTTCACTTGATATCTATGTTCTAGACCTCGGATCGCGTCAGGCTGCGCTGCGCCTTTGCCGTTTTAAGCCCCTCGTTTTATATTACCAAACCCCCTTTATTACAAGAGTATTTACAATCTCTTCCCCCTCCTCTTCTTCTTCTTCTTCTTCTTCCTCCTCCTTCTCCTTCTCATCCTCTCCACCCCCACCACCATCAACGCGCCCTCCCCTGTACCGTATGTAGCTCGAACCTGAGGCGCATCTGAAAGTTATTACACGGGGCGCGTATGGGCCCGTTCGCACTCCTATGGTCTGCATGGGGCTGCAGTTCGGATTTCACGCAGACAGAAGGAGAGAGGGGCTTCGGACCCTATAGTGCCCCGTCTAAGATCTGCCCCCTCCCCTTAATACACAGACAGTACCTCATATACTGTACAACCTCCACATTGTAGAGTATAAGTGTGAGTTATTCTCCGTTGGATGGCTGAATTTAAAATGACACAAAAACACATAAATGGACCAGGTATCAGCATTAAACATGAATCCCTCCAGATTCTCAATTTAAAATAAAAATACAGCAACACAAGAAAACTTTGCCTTTAAGTTAAGATATTAACATTGATTGAGTCTGTAAGAAGACGTTCTGCGAAAATGTTTTTCTTACAATTTTGTTATAGTGTAAGTGATTTGTGATTACAAGTATAAACAAGCATACAATATTTCAGGGTACAGTCATGGTCAGACCTAATAAACCATAATATTCAAATTCGAGGTGTTGCATATAGTTGGATTTTGCTTTGTGGGGCCGAGTGTGACTGTTATCGGGAAGCAGATTAGTACCGACCACTGTGTATGTAGAGCATAGGTGAAGCCACCCAGATTATGTTTCTGTAGGTCGTTCAACCTGTCTGTCCTGTTTACTGTCACCGGATAGTTTGCTGAGCCTCTCTGGTATTTTAACACGATCTCCCTAACGTTACCTTTATGTACACGCACAATAAGGACGCAGACATACACAGGCATATACAGTATACACGCTCGTCCAGGTGAGCTTTGCGTTGAAAAAGACCTAAAAAGATGCCACCACATGCACAAACTTTGTTCACACACAAACAAACACACACACTCCTCAGACGTGTAGCGGTATTATATCCGCCCCCCTCCACTGTGCTCCTGTCCGCGGCTTCCCTTGCCCTGTTGTGCGTCCACTTATCTCTCTCCCTCTCTTTCTGCATATTGCTTTCATTAGACATCTCTGGCTCTCTCCCTCTCCTTTCTCTCTCTCTCATTCGCGCACACACACACTCCTCCTTCCCTCCTAGTGCCTCTTGTCCGGCCCCCCTGATCTCTGTGTCCATTGGCTTCCACCGGGTCTATTTCTCATGTCCA